CACGTTATATGCCCAAATACCGGGCAAAATAAGATAACACATAAGAATAAGTGGATCCTGGATCAAATAAGACTGATGCATCTCTATGACAGACCGGAATAATACCTATGATAATATAATCGGATGCAACGGCCTCTGTCCTAGCAGGAAGGGCATAATATTTGGCCTGACCTCCCCCTCTAGGGCTACCTCGACCTGTCTGACCTCCCCCTCTAGCTGGCTGTGCAGGTGGAGTGGCAACTGGTGCAGTAATTATGGCCTGAGAAGCCTGAGGGCCCTATGGAATAGGTGGGGCCTAAAAAATTTGTGGAGGTGCACCCCTCCTAAATCTGGGGAAATCTCTCATGATATGACGAGTGTCACCACACTCAAAACAAGCTCTTGAAGGACGTGGCTATTGGGACTGGCTCGGGCCTTATCGACTAGACTCCCCGCTGAAAGTACCCTATACAGGAGGTACAGTAGACACTGGCGGTGCATAATATGGAACTTGAGGTCTGGGAGTAGCCAGAATACCACTGGAAGATGAAAGTGCTGAATGAATAGGACGACTCACATAACCTCTACCATGACGGTCTGCAACTGCGGCACGAGAATTTTTATATGTGCCAGAGTCTCGTGGTCTCTTAGCTTCCCTCCCTGCCCTCTCCCGAGTCCGCATACCTTCCAATCTCCTAGCAATTGACACCACCTGTTGGTATGTGATGTCCATCTTTAGCTCTCGGGCCATACTGAATCTGATACTAGGGTGGAGACCCTCAATAAATCTGCGAACCCGCTCTCGAACAGTAACAACTAAGGCTGGTGCATGCCTAGCCAACTCACTAAATCGGACTGCATACTCTGACAAGGTCAGAGAACCATGGCGCAAATGCTCAAACTCTGCGCGCCATGCATCTCTAAGACTCTGAGTAATATACTCCCTTAAGAACATATCTAAAAATTGAGTCCAAGTTAGTGAAAATGCCTCAGCGGGACTATCCAACACATATGCCCGCCGCCATTGGTAGGCTTCTCCTCTAAACTGGAATGTCGTGAAAGAAACCCCACCGGAATTCACAATACCCATAGTACGAAAGATACCATGATATTCCTCCAGAAAACCCTGGGCATCCTCTGAAGCTAAACCGCTGAAAGTGGGAGGGTGGTACTTCTAATACCTCTCGAGCTTGAGCTGCCCCCCCCCCCCCCCAANCCCCCCCCTAAAACTGTTGTCCTAATCTCAGGCTGAACTGGGACAATTGGTTGTACTGGTATAACTTCTGGGGCATGGTCAACTTGGGCACTGGTATAACTCCTGCCCCGGCCTGAGATGTGGCAGGAGCTAGTGGAATTACCCTTCCCTGAGCTAGAGTGCCAAACATGCTCAAAAACTGGGCAAGAGTCTCCTGAAGTGCAGGAGTAGTAACAAGCGTCTTAGGTGCATGCTCTCCAACTGGAGATACTGGTGGCTCTGGTGCAGCAGCTCGTGCAGGTGCTCTAGCTGCACCACATGGTCTTCCTCGGCCTCTGCCCCGACCCTGGCCTCTTGTGACTCTAACAGGGGGCGCGAGTGTCTAATCATCGGATCCAGTTGTGCGTGTCCTCACCATCTGTGAGAGAATAAAAAGATAATGGTTTAGAAATTTGAAGTCAACAATTATGCACGATAAGGAATCAAAAAAGTGAATATTTTTCCTAACATTTCCATATCCTCCTGAAGATAAGTACAGACGTCTCCGTACCAATCCGCAAGACTCTACTAAACTTGCTTGTGACTCATAACACCTATGAACCTATAGCTCTGATACCAACTTGTCACGACTCTAAATTCCCTCCGTAGGAGGTCGTGATGGAACCTAATCTCTAAGACTAGGTAAGCCTATCAATGTGGAATAATAATAGTTATCTGAATTAAATAAACTACAAATCAAATAATTTACAACACCCAAAATACGGTAGAAATAAGGCACAAGCTTCTAAGAATTTATCCTCAATGTATCTATATATCAAGGTCTAAAGAAAATAAGGAAACAACATGATAATGATAGAAGGGGACTCCAGAGTCTGCGGACGCTGGCAGATATACCTCGAAGTGTCCGTATACCGGTAACTCACTGATGTCTGAGCTGGTAAGATGTACCTGGATCTGCACAAAAATATGTGCAGAAGCATAGTATGAGTACACCACAACGGTACCCAGTAAGTACCAAGCCTAACCTCGGTAGAGTAGTGACAAGACTAGGTCAGGCCCTACTGGAAAATTAAATAATGGCATGGTAAAATGTTTAACAATATAATAAGATAAAATGACAATGGAAATGAGTCAAGTAGTATGTCACTATTTAATTACACCAAATAATGGCAATTAATACCTCGCGGAAACAAAACATAATTTATTTTCAACTTTAAGAAAAATTACAACAATAATCAAAGGCAACTGCGGCCATAAATCAATATCAACAAGGGCACTCCCGAGGTACCACATCGTAGTCCCAAATCATAAATAAATTCACAATAACTCATTTCCTTAAATCACCGCGGGTGCCTTCACAATTTATTTAAAGAAATTATTTTTTCCGAAATAGCATCCCGCATTTTTAGCCACCCGTATCACACTGCATGACTTCTAGTAGTCTCCCCTATTAGCCATGCGTATCAAGCGACCCTTATCTCACCGCATGCGTTTCAATACCCAGACTTTATACCACCGCATGCGTATCAATATCACAATTTGTACCACAAGTGCCAAAATATTTTAATTTGCCAAAATAAATCAACAACAATATTTTTCCATAATAAAGAGCTCACGGCTCATGCCAAAATAATCCAACAATGATAGTTTTCTACAATAAAGAGCTCACGACTCATGCCAAAATAATTCAACAATAATAGTTTTCCACAATAAAGAGCTCACGGCTCATGCCAAAATAATTAAACAATATAGTATTTCAAAATTTTAGTACGTTGCCTCAATACCAAATTTAAAATGTCAAATAATTCATATTAATAATATTTAATTTTAAAAACATCGCCCTTCAAATAATGCACAGAACAAAAGAAACCAAGTTCCAACTAAACAGGTAAAGCAATTAGCAAGAAAAGTTCAAGCAAATTTAAAGTTTAAACATTTAAATCAATGATGAAGAATATAACAAGGTAAAATTATTTAATTAATATGGAACATCGATCTACACAATTTAAAGACATAATCTTTCACATTTAGCCCGTGTACACATTCGTCACCTCGTGTACACGACTTTCAACACATTTTAATTTATCACTTCAATACCAATCCTAGGGGAAATTTTTTCCACACAAGGTTAGACAAGTTACTTACCTCGACTTGCTCCAATTTAACCGAGTAGTATGCCTTTTCCTCGATTTTTCGACTCCGATCGATTCGTATCTAGTCATAATTAATTCGATATAGTCAACAAAAATTATATAATCAATTCCACAAGAAAATACAACATTTTTAAATAAAATTCAAAATTAACTCGAAAATTGTTCGTGGGGCCCACATCTCGAAATCCGGCAAAATTTACGAAATATGAACTCCGTTCAACCACGAGTCTAATCATACCAAAATGACTAAATTCCAATAACAATTCGACCCTCAAATCCTCAAATATATCCATGAGGGTTTTCATCATTTTCCAACTTAAATCACCAATTAACTAATAAAAACAGTGATGGATTTGGGTAATCTAACCAAAATTGAGTTAAGAACACTTACGCCGATGTTTTCTCTGAAAATCTCCCAAACCTCGCCTCAATCCGAGCTCCAAATCGTTAAAAATGGAATTCGTCCCATTTTCTAAACTTAAACTCTCTGCCCAGGCTTTTTCTTCTATGCGATCGCGGTCAAAGGCACGTGATCGCGAAAAACAAAGGTTGCCCAGAATTAAGCTTATGCGATCACGGATAACTCCACGCGATCGCGAAACACAACATTCCTAGACCTATGCGATCGCAGACTCATCTACGCGATCGCGAAACACAACATTCCTAGACCTTCGCGAACGCGGTCTTAGCCACGCGTTCGCATAACACAGCTTGCCAAACCTATGCGATCGCATTGCACAAAAATTCAGCTTCCCAATTAACCCTACGCGATCGCATACCTTCTCACGCGATCGCGTAGAAGGAAACCAGAACGTGCAGAACCAGAACTTCAGCTATCAAGCCAAGTCAAAAAATGATCCGTTAGGCATCCGAAACTCACCCGAGCCCCTCGGGATCTCAATCAAATTTACCAAAAAGTCCTAATACATAATACAAACTTAGTCGAGTCTTCAAATCATATCCAACAATACTAAAAACACGAATCACACATAGATTCAAGCCTAATGAAATTTAAAACTTTTAATTTCTACAAACGATGCCGGAACATAACAAATCAAGTCCGATTGACCTCAAATTTTGTATGCAAGTCCTAAATAACATAATGGAGCTATAAAAATTTTCAGAACTGGATTCCGACCCCGATTTCAAAAAGTCAACTCTCTGGTCAATCTTCCAAACTTAAATTTCTATTTTAGCCATTTCAAGCCTAATTTAACTACGGACTTCCAAATAAAATTCCGAACACATTCCTAAGTCCAAAATCACCATACAGAACTGTTGGAATCATTAAAATTCTATTCCGGGGTTGTTTTCTAAAAATATTGACCGAAGTCAAACTTAGTATTTTTAAGGCCAACTCAAGGAACCAAGTGTTTCGATTTCAACCCGAACCAACCATCTCCGCAAGTCATAAATTTGTAAAAGTACATACGAGGAGTTTTATTTAGGGAAACGGGATTCTAAAAGTAAAAGTAACCGGTTTGGTCATTACAAGGTTGTTGAGAAGCTTGGTAGTTTGGAGGCTGATAAGGTGCAGTAGGTTGTGGAGAAGCTTGGTAGTTTGGAGGCTGATAAGGAGCTAGGCCATGAAGTGGGGAAGGAGTAGTAAACATGGGACTTGCTTGGTTGGTGACAAGGTTAGCAGATGCAGAAAGATGAATACGACTATCTTGTTATCGAGCCTCTGCATCAAGTAGAACACTATTCATCTGCTGAATAGTAAAAAGATATTGACTAGCAGTGATTACATCAATCACTGGCTCGTACTCAGGAGTAAGCCCAGCAAGAATGGTAGCTAGGTGAATCGAATCAGATACTCGTTCACCACAACTTGCCAATGAGTCGCAAACAGATTTGATACCAGTGAGATATTCATGCATACTTTTATTGCCTTTACGTTGACCCTTGAGCATACTGTGAAGATGCATAATTCTAGTGGTGGTATGTGTGTTAAAGATCTGTGTGAGTGTTTTCTAAATGGAGGAAAAGGTGGTCAAACCAACAAGGGAAGAAAGGAGACTTGGACTGACTGAGGCGAGTAGCCAAGATGTAAGGGCGATATCTTGTTGCCCATGGGGTAAGGGACTCAGGATTTGGGATCTCTTTGCCTTCTTCAACAATGGTGGCTGAAGGAGCAGCAATAGAGTCATCCAGAAGGTAGTGGAGATTATGACTCCTAGTTGTGAGTGAAACTTGTTGTTTCCATAACAGGTAGTTATCTTCATTGAGCTGAAGATTCACCTTCTTTGTTGAGAATAATGGAGATGTAAGAAAAGTAGAAGAAGACCCAGGATGGGTTGTGTTTATAGCAGATTCAGTACTAGCAGAGGAAGGTGACATAGTGAGATATCAATAAAAAGATTAATTATAGAGTGAAGTAAGAATCAAAGGCAAAAATGGAAAGCTTGCAGCAAAGTAATGGAAAAGCTTGCAGCAGAGTAATAGCAATACTATGCAAAATAAGAGACTGATGGATCGAGAGGTTGTTTGTTAGACAAAAAGCTCTGATACCATATCAATCTATACAGAAATGGACAGAAACAAATATGCAGCAGAAGAATATCCTGTTTCAGTGAATTCATGAGTGTTACAGAGGGGGCTATATATAGCACATAGAACAGCTACGTGTCCAAACAAGAGAGGAGAATGGAAATACAATGACAACTATGACAGTTGTATAGTACAATAGATAAGACAACTGTATATAAATTACTATCTCTAATAATATTAGTTTCTTTTTTACCAAAAAATAAGAATTTAGGTACTTCTGTAAATTAATTGTGGAAATTAATTTCTTATCACAAATTAATAATTCCTATTTTTTTCCAACAATAATTACTATTTTAAAACCTAATGCCATCTTAAATTTTAAGAACAAAAACAAATGGATCAAACAACCAAGCTTCTAAGAAAATACATCATGGAGTTTCATTGTTGGAAAAGAAACTTTCCTCCTACTTTTTTATATTCTTTTAGTGTCTTAATATTTTGTATTCTTATTAGAAGAAGATATCATATATATATATATATATATATATTTTTTAAAAAACTTCTTTAATTTAGAACTCCTAAATATTAGGAATGCTTTTTGATTTTACAATTTTATCCAATATAAAATATAAAGGATAAAGAAACCGAACGACATTTCGCGAAAGGTTTTCATACTTTTAATATAGTATAAATATAGATAGATATAGTATAGATATAGATATAGATATAGATATAGATATAGGTATTTATAGATATAGATTGATTGATATGGGGGCAGGTTGATTGTAGTGTAATTACTCCTAGCATAAAATCCAAAATAAAACAACACATCTGGTTAGCCACATACGAAAAGATAATTTTCTACTAACTAATGCAACATGGTAGTATAAGATACTATTTACATTAAATTATCCGAAAATATAAACGTTATTATACGCGATGGTAAGTTTTATTATCAAATCTGTTTATTCCATATGTCTTTCAACATGTCTCGATGCCATAGACTTCAATTATTTTGATGGGAATATCCTCCATATGTCTCTTGTCTGTCATAGAGTTAGGACTAAGTCAAGATCTATGCATGTGTTATGTTCGGGGCGAAGCCACAATCTTATAGCTATCAGTTCAAAATCCAATAGCTTTAAATCAAATTCTACATTTATATTGAAGAATTCATTAAATATATATAAATAAAATATCTTAAACCCAGTAAACAAAAATAATTGTAGTGTAGAATCTATAAACTAAAAATTCTAGCTCCGCCTTAACGCCTTAAGTTATGATACACCAAAACAAATAAAATGTGTAAGTGCAATGAGGACGTTCCATATGAGAGAGAGTACTAAATGACTTATGGATCATCTCTATAATTTTGTTTGAATTTTTGAAAAAATATTAGGAAGGCGTAAGCAATGACAGTGATGATCGATGATGTAGAAGTCATAGCCTTCTAATGTTCTTTTAGTTGATGTATGGTGGTATTTTTGAGAACTCAATTTCCATGTTTCTCAAGGAGAAACCAAGATTTTAAAATTTCAAGGGAGTGATTTGGTGGTAGAGGAGATAGAATTAAGGTAAGCATACATATTAATTAATCAATGATTACTTGATAAATCCTACACAAACCGAAACCAAAAATATGTAAAACTGAAACATAGTGAATTTACTTTGTATAGTATTGGTATAACATTTTTAAAAACGGAAAACCAAATATACCGAATTAAAATATATCAAAATAGTACCAAACTGATCGATGAACACCTTTAATCAGAGTTTGTTCCGAGCAAAAATAGGCATCAAAAGACAAAAGAACGAATATGTATTACGTAGTCAAATTCGTTTGAACAAGAGGAGGAAAAAAAGGAGTCCAATTCTCGTAAATACTTTATCTACCAATCTAGAACATAGATGGGGTATATCTCACCTATTCTAATATAGAGTCTAAAAGAATATGTATGTTGATTCATATCAATTAATTTCTCTGATGAAAGCAGTGAAAATAATTGACTAAGAATTAAGAGCATTCTTGTGCTAATCAAACAGAGGAAAGAAAATTTGCAGCTATCTATGCACATGAAGCAGCCTTAATTAAACTTTGTTCCAAGCAAAAATAGACATCATAAGACAAAAGAAGGTACATATAACTAATGGGGAGGCAAGATAGTTTAAGATAAGTTCTGAAGTTCTAAGGAAAGTAATGAGAATTATTGACTGAGAATTAAGAGCAGTCTTGTGCTAATCAAACAGAGAAAACATTGCTGCTATGAATGAAACAGCCTTAATCCTCCTTTGATGGTGCTTCATCAGACACCTTGTCTTTCAGACCAAATGATTTTGCTGTTTTAACCATGAACCACCTATAAAACATGAACAAAGAGTTAATTACTGTCTACAACAGACTAAGCGACAAAGAAAATAAAAAAAAGGTAGTTTGGTGCACTAAGCTCCCGCTATGCGCGGAGTCCGAGGAAGGGCCGGACCCTGCATTTCTGCAAGAGGCTGTTTCCACGGCTTGAACCCGTGACCTCCTGGTCACATGGCGGCAACTTTACCAGTTACGCCAAGGCTCCCCTTCAAAGAAAATATAAGATGACAATACCTTTTCCAGCTTATTTTCTCAGCTACTTCTGTTTCTTTCCCTTCAGAATCATTCTCAATTATAGTCCAATCATCATCTTCGCGATCAGAACCAACAGAGTTCTTCCTCGAGCTGCCAATGAGATCATCTGGTAAAGAATTTTCTGATGCAGCATCCTTTATCCCAGTTGGCTGGACAGTGTAATCCATTCTTTCTTCACACCTCTTCTCTTGCAATAAGTTACTCTTTTCAGGGTTACATACCATATTTTGTTCCTCAGCCACTAACTTTTCTTCTGCACCGTCCTCTTTGGTAGAGGTTTCCACATTGTCCTCTTCGAACATCTTGTTTTCTTCTACTTTGCTAGTCAAACTTCCCTTATTGCCCTCCTCAAATACCTTGTTTTCTTCAACTGGTCGTTTAGTATCCACACTACTATCAGTAAGCAACAAAGACGATGTATCACCCTTCTTCTCTAGCAATAACTTCTCTTCTTCGGATGCATGTGATATATAAGATTTATCATCCATTGACTTAATCTTGGCTAGCTCAGAAAATGACACTGCATTTTCAGTTTTTGCACCACCGCACTTTCCCAAAGACAACATCTGAAACTGCTTACGTAAAGTTGACTGTAGAGCTGCAAAGCTTTCAGATTTCTCAAAATTCCCATGTTCAAGCAGATTAGTTAAAGCATTGTCTACATATGCAACTTCAAACATTTTGGAATTTGAAAGAGCCTCCATCTCCATAGACTCCCCTTTAATACATCCAACAACAAGCGGGCATCGGTTTTCTCCAGACGTCAGCGCAGTATTCACCTGGCACAAAGTCCTTTTTAACCAATCTACACAATGTTCCCCTCCTTTTTTCAGTTGGACAGAAACAGTAAATATTCCATCCATTGTTATACGACTTCCAATTGTATAAAGCCTGGAGAAACTTTCCTTGGTGCAAAGCAATTCTATTCCAGTGTCTCCAAAAACAGCTGTGGTTTCCGGAAACTCACGATCAAGCAACCACACTAAGAAGCTAGAGGATATAGGACGAGACAAGGTTTCAAGTGGTCCCATTGATTGAGTACCAATCACCAAAACATCTGATTTTCCCCATTCCTCTTCTTTGTATTCCCTCCAGCTTGAGTAGAAGCCTGTCAATCTTTCTTTAAGAAGCTTGACATTCTTTACGTCTTCTTCCTCCTCCATCAATTTAGGCTGATCGGGGATCCCGAGTAGCCTATTTTCTTCACCATCTTTCTTACCTTCTCCCGACTTAAACAGCTGATCACCATCTTTATTTCCTTCCTTTGACTTGTCGTCCTCTTTAGCATCCAGCCAATTTCCTCCAAACTTAAACAGCTGATCACCATTTTTGTTACCTTCCTTTGACTTGTCCTCTTGACCATCCAAGCTTTTTGCTCCAAACTTGAACAGTTGATCATCACTTTTGCCTCCTATTGCCTTATCGCCTTTACCATCCAATCTATTTGCTCCAAACATGAAGATTTGATCATAATTTTTGCCTCCTTCCTTTAACTTGTCGCTTTTACCATCCAATCTATTTGCCCCAACCTTAGACATCTGATCACCAGTTTTGTTTCCTTCCTTTAACTTGTCGCCATTACCATCCAATCTATTTGCTCCAAACGTGAAAAGTTGATCATCATTTTTGCCTCCTTCCTTCGCCTTGTCACCTTTACCATCCAATCTATTTGCTCCAAATGTGAAGAGTTGATCATCATTTTGGCCTCCTTCCTTTGCCTTGTCGCCTTTACCATCAAATCTATTTGCCCCAACCTTAAACAGCTGATCACCAGTTTTGTTTCCTTCCTTCGAATTGTCTTCTTTAGCATCCAACCAACTTCCTCGAAACTTAAACAACTGATCACCATGTATGTTTGGTACCCTCAACTTGTCCTGTTTTCCACTAGAGGAAGCAGCGGACAGATTAAGATTCTTCATCAACAACAAAACATTCTCATCAGTTTTGGTAGTTGGTAAAGGATTTTCATTCACACTGCTAACCGATTTACTCGATTCGCCTTTCTCTTTGATTTCAATTCCCTCACCCCAAAGGACCTCAGTTTTGTCAATACTAGAACCCAAATTGCTCCTCCTTTCCCTCAAACCTTCATGTTCAAATTTAAACCTATTTTCCTTCGTTTTCGGAGCAGATTTATTTCGATTTTCCAAGAACTGCAAAAACACTTGCTCATCATTTTCACTCCACAAATTGCTCTCATGCTTATCCCTCAAATCCCTTTTTGTTTTCAAACTTCTTTTTTCCTTGCCAACATTCACAATAGGACTAAAACTACGCATAGGAGGAGTAAATTCAACTGATTTAGACACCTCTTTCTCATTAAAAACTCCAAAACCAAAGTTTGTTTTTTCAGCAGTATTAATCAACTTATCAATACCAGAATTCACAGTTGCAGCTTTATACTTTTTAGGTTCTAAATCATTAATACAACTCCAAAAAAGCTTAGACTTTGGATACTCACCTGCTATATAACCAACAACAAACGGACAACAACGATCCTCAACATCATCATAAAACATCTTATTGTTGTGAATTACTCTCTCGTTACGTATCGTAGCATCAATTAACGCAAACCCCTCATCGTTCTTAGCCTTCAATTGAACAGAAACAGGAATTTTCTGCATCAAAGTTGCACAACAACACAAAGAACGAATCTTGGAAAAATTCTTCTGAGTACAGAAAAAATATATCCCATAGACAGTGAAAATCGTAGTTGTATCATTCAGTTCTTCACCTATAAGCCATAAGTAGAATTGATTTGACTGAGAATTTGATGAGTTTTTTTCTTGGTTTGAATGGATAACAACAACATCAGAGTTTTGCCAAAAATCTTGTTTGTGAAAACTCAAACTGTTGTAAAAGGCACTAAGCCTTTTCTGGAACAGTTCTTTCATCATCTTTTGTGGATTTCTGGAACTGGGAATTGATGATTTAAACAAGAAAAGAGTGATCAGTGACTTTTGTTTGTAGTCTTGATCGTATGAAGAAGAAGACAAATAGGTTTCGAGGTCTTTGTAGAATTCGTCAAAGTCATGGAAATTGTGTTATACTAGGAATATGATTGGAAATTTACATCATATAAGAGTCCATGTATAGCTTGTAACTTTGGCGTTACGAAACATAAGGGGAAATAAAGGAAAGATAATCCATATTAAATTTCAAGATTTTCAACAAACTTTTTGTTAATAGAGGAAAAAAACCAACCTTATGTTAAGAGGTTGAGAATATTTAGGAACTAATTATGGTGAATTAAATATTGTAACGGGATTATTTCAAATGATCTTTAATGCAATAGATACGTTTGTTTTATGATTTTCTTGATAAAATTTATTAGGTATGATCCCAACTTCATTTAAAGTTATTCACATCATTTAGCTTTCTTACTTCTGAATTTTTTTTAACATTATGATGATTCTTTTGTCAAGAATATTTCCAAAGAAGACAAGGAATTTGTTAATAAAAATGAAAAAAAAGGATGAAGGCCTTAATATACGGGCTTATCTATCTATATCTATATCTATATCTATATCTATATATATATTAAAGGAATAAAGTTATCATATATAATTGGTATTGTGGTTAAGCCAAGTGGCAAACTAATAAATGCCAATAATATATGGTTACTTNATATATATATATATATATATATATATATATATATAACTATATTTAAATTAAAGGATAATTTTTAATTTATAGATAAAAATTTTAAATTTGAATTAAAATAAAAAAATAAATTTATCTTTTGGTACCATACTTAATTCGATTAATGATCATATGCAATCATGTTAGGAACTTTTGTTATCTTTTTTAATTATTTAAATACTACTTCGCCTCTCGCAAAAAAATAATAATAATAAAATTACTTCATATAACTATAAAACTCTTTCACATCTAAAATCATATAATTAAAGTTCTTTAAATTACTATAGCTAGATTTGAATAGAGGGAATTTATTTTATAATAAATATAATATATAGGGTACACGTCTATGTTTATCCAGATAACAAAAAAGAGTTTAAAAATCAAATAAAAGTTTACTTACATATATAGTGAAGTAAACCTACATGCCGGAGAAAGAAACATCACAAAAATAAGTCACTATTCAAAAAAAGTTATTTTTTTTTCTTTTTGAAGAATGTTTGCTTGATGAGTCAATTTGTATAAATGGACATCAAACAAATAGCAAAAATTTAGCTATACAATTGCTATCATTAATTTCAATTTAGCACCTTATAGGAATTAAAGGATATAAGCTGAAATCTTTTCATTTAGCTGCAGTCAAGCCAACATTGCAAGGGTATAATATTTTTTTCGTTGAAGAATATTAGTTGTGAATCATTAGATTATATGAAAGATTTTTTTTCTTGAATTTCAACAAGAGGGATATTAGTTTCTAATTGATAGTTTCTATATCGATTTTCAAGTGTAACAAAAATGTATATTTTAAAAAAATAAAATTGGTATGACGTGAATTATTTTTAAAAAAATGTAAATAAATTATTTCGAAATGGGATTATTTTTTAAAATATAATATAATTTTAAAAAT